AAGAGGATTGATGGATATTCAGATCTTAAAGGAACAATAAAGATCAGTCAGATTTCCTTACGGTATCTTCATCCGCATCGACGATCCTTCGGATATGACCATCAATCCATTCATCCTCAGCTCGTGGCTCAGTTCACTGCACGGCCCCCATTCTCTTCATGATCCTTCACGTCCTCAATCCAGAAGTTCAATATGTAGGTATGGATGGATGGATGGTGAAGGTCAAGGTCACTCACTCACTTATTATTGTACTAGCAGACTAGTACTTGGAAATGGTACTTTGTTGATGTTACAGTTACACTCATCATGAGGTACTTTTCGGTTTCGGTGCTTTTCTTTCATTCAACCCATTTGAGCATTCCTCCACTACACGCTCCACACCACCATTACCTATTTCCAGCCCAGCCCAGCCCTTTTCAAAGTCTGGACTGCCATGTGCTGAGCCACCAAATAAATGAAGATCCATGGAAATACTTCGTTGCAATACCTCCGCGGTATGCACGATGCACCAAATACATGTACTTTCCACACGTCACATTTTCCGTCCAATCATGAAATATGGTTCTTTGGATGAGTCCAGCTTCCGGGAATTTCTTCCCAGCACACAATTTCTCTGAAGCTTTCTCTCCTACCACTCGGCCTGCGTGACAGATAACTTGTATCGTGGAACATCAAGTCACATCATGGAGATCAGTATGTACCATTCAAGTAGTTCCGTTTGCTACCGACTGCATGGAACCTTATATCGATGATCATTATTGTACTTCCATATACTTGAAGTTGTACAACACGACCCAATCTAAGTGGATTGGTAAAATGTGAATGCATCTGGTACTTTCATCTCTGTGCTCATATTCTTACATCGCAAACTTTACGTAGCTTCGGATGCGTTGATAATCTCTTTATCGTATATATGCCGATGCAGTATAATCTATACCTTCGATGTATGCCCTATTGTTTCGTTCATAAGATTCATATATGAAAGTGCCCAGCTTACACGATGAGTCTCGACGAAGCTTGTCTCGTTCTTATTGAGCAAGGAAATTTAAAGTAAAATTTCTCAAAAAGTACAAACTCACGGGATCACAACATTTTCATCAATCTACCCCAATTTTCATCTCATAATTTAAGGGTACCTGCCTATAAGTCGTGATACCATACGGTGGCGTATCTCCCTATCGCCAATTGATCACCATGTCACCCCCTTGCCTAGAAATTTTCTACGGCCTCCAAATTTTGCCTCACACGGATGTATCGATACACTAAACATAGTTTCCAAAACAATTTGGAACACAAAAATATACTCTGGAATGGGATGATTGTGACGTTATTTTCTTTCTGCTGAATCTTTGTGTGAAGCACGCATGCTACTTGCATTTATATCCTGAACTATGGTTCCTCAAGAACACACGGCTGGAAAGTATCCTAGACATATATGAGATGAGCTCAGCTGCTCCCATTCCCCAAAACAGATTTTAACGAACCATTTTGAAGGATTCGGTCAGGGACGTCTTTAAATATGGTTCAGTAATAAATAATTGCATCGGGAGCCTCATATCACCTCGGTATTTTAATATTGGCATTCTTTCCTTAATTGATATTGACTACTCCATCGTTTTTACCCGTCAATGTTATACAAGCCACATCAGCTCCATGCTAGCAACGACGACCTTTAAATACTTTGTCGTACTCATCTAGCTACCTATTCTCTAGGTATTAGATAAACTTCCGGCGCTTGTTGTGAGATTATGAAAGTATAATACTGTGCTTTACACTTAGATTTAAAACTTCTAGTCAAGGACTGGACTCTACTAATTTTTAGAGCCAGTTTGTACCACATCGGCCTTACTGTATCTATCCGAGCCGATAGCACTCATTCATACCAACCAAGCTCGTTCAATAATCAAGCTGCACCTTATTTCCCCATTGAAATAATAAATAGTATATCATTTCATTTCGAGGAGATTTTCAAGACAACCCCAAATCACAACAAAGTAAAATCGTGAAAGTCTTTCACCATTCTCTCCCCATCCATCCTTACCAGTTCTTCCACTTCAACCTTCCAATATCCATCCTCCTCGCACGAGACGTGCCGTTCCATCGCACACTCCACAGCACCACAACACCACATCTTACACACCACCATATCCCGCCCCTGTAATTAAATTAATTCTTCTTTCAGAAATGGAAAAAACGATGGCTAAAGCGTGTTTACGGGCGTACACTGCACTACTCTCTCTTCTTTCTCAATCCACTCTACATACGTAATATACGTGTTGCGGTCACAACATATTTACTCGGTTCGGAAGATGCAGGTTCAGGGCCGGTAATATGGTAATGTGCCGTTTTGGTATTATGTTTCTCTGTGTGATGTGATGGGATATGATGTGATAAGTGTGGTGATACAGATAGGTATTCTGTTTCTTACTCTGCAACCCTACTCGCTTTCATTTTGAATAAATTGAAGAAGATGCAAGTGCTAGGGGGATCAGAATCCGGGGAACGGGGAGGAGTACGGTATGTAGAGGGTGTGTGGAAGCGCTTTTGGAGTTTTATAGAGGGGACGCGTATGTATGTATATCTCTCTCTGTGTATCTGCATGTGTGTGCGTATGCACGTCATCAAAGCCCGAACGGAACGCGGAGGTTTTGTTTACGTATGCGTACGTGTATGTATGTAGGTTTGTGATATACATACGCGAGTTTTGAACGGGATAGCAAATGGGGATTGAAAAAGATTCCGATTTGAATGGCTTATTAAGGAGGTAGATGTTGATAAACTTAAAATCTCTGGAATATGTTTCCATTCAACTTATTATTGGGAGATATCATTTGGAACATGTCTAGAAAGTACTCAATACGTAAATACTTCTCATCCTATCCCTTCCCATCTTTCCTCATTCTACTAAACCACATATCTACAAAACATTCAACGTATGCCTCCCTTCTCCGCCGATCCTAAGAATTCAAACCCAATCTAGTCCGTATGCAACCAGATAGATATCAACGGGATCCTGCGTACATCTCCCAGATAGATACACACCTAATACTCGACACACAATCTGCAGTTCCGCGTCATCTAGCGAATTCCAAGACGGATGAGTGCGGTTATTTATGAAAGGGAGGGGATTCCATATAGTGTGTATAATGGGATTGAGTGGGTTGGGTGGTGCTCGTTAATGTGTGCGTGTGTTGGTGGGAAGAATCTAAGTATGATTTATAAAAGTAATAAAATCGAATGGATGATAGCTATAAGTAGTTCCAGATATAGATATAGAAATCAAATTCAAAAGTTTAATTACATAATAATTAAACACATTTCATCGCTTTTTCCTACATATATACTCCATCCTATCTCATTTCTCCAGATATAGATAGATATCTACCTACATATACCTAGATATACATAGATAGATATCCAAACCACCCCCCTCATTCAAATTCTCTTCTATCTTTGAATATATATATATATATATATATCTCTATACCTACATATCCATCCACATATCCCACATCCCACACACACAAAAAATAACCACTCTACTCTACTCAATTCATTTATTCATTTATTCATTTACCTAAATAATATACACATACATCCTAGCCATCCTCTCTCATCCCAATTATGCAATCTTCTATATCCATCTATTAATTCATATATGTATAAATACGTACATACGTACATACATACATATCGCATCTCGATCCTGCACCTTCTCGATGATGCATGTACGTTGATTTTACATTAAACAACATACAATGCACAATGTACAATCCCTTCCCATTCTTCTACCCTAATTCTCGCTTCCATTCCCTGCCTTTCCTGTTGTGTTCTATAGTAAATCTCGAGTCCTAACTCTCAAGTCTTAACTTTCACCTCTCACCTCTCACCTCCCAACCCTCACTTCTTCAACCCATTAATCCTCCCAATCCAATATCTAATCACAGATACACCATACCTACATGTACACACCTACATATGTACAAATATCCCAGCGTCCACAATCCAAAATATACATACAACCTACACATATAGATCTTAATACCTATCCATTCATCTCTCACACGAACTACAAGCATAACCATAATCATAACATCACACATTCCACCCACCTCATCTCATCTTATTTTCTCATATAATTTATGGAGCATAAGATGTATATTCGGATCCGAAGATTCTCTCTCGGGTTTATATCCATTCTATTCATTCCTCACATGATTCCGGATGGTGATTGTTACCTAACATAACCATAACCATAAAAATAGAGCTATACATCATACATCATACATCAAAACCACTTTCCAACCATATAATCAAGCAGCCATTCCAAAGCTCTCATAGCTGCCTAGCTATCTCTATCCGCGCCCCTGTTACACAAATAAAAAGAGTCAGAAACTATCTTCGAAATCTCTCCATCCCATCCCATCCCGTTCATCTCTACCCCTTCCTTTTTCCTCTTCTTCTCCTTGATGCGTTGCTTTACCCTTATTTCCAATTCTCTTTCCACAATATAAATAATAATAATATATTGAATATAACATCTAAACTTATTAAGATCTTGAATTCTTTATTAACTTGAAAATATATAGCTGAATACACACATACACTCACAATCTCCAGCACAAAACTTTACATCATGAATAAATACGATTTCAAATTCTACTAAAAATCCCAATAAGAACTCCCAAAAGCCAAATCCCAAAATCGATATAAACTAAATCTTCCTACTATACATCCAGTGCCCCAAGTAAATATGCATCTTGTACGCTCCTCTTTTTTTTTCCTATTCCATTCTGCCGAGTCCTCTTGCACCAAATTTGTGGACATCCACAATGACCATATAATACAATGCCCCATCCATGTAGTGTGCAATCCCGTTGAAATTCCACGCACGCAAACTCCAATAATGCCCTATAACATCCAAGCTTCAAGAAATCCCCATAACCAAGCCGATTCCTCGACAGAAAAGATATACATGTAACAAAAGAAAAACAAAATGATCAAAGATGTCTCCACCCACTCTGATACAAAACCTGCATCTCATTAATCAAACACTCCAATCCCAATTCTTTCCTCAATTCCTCTCCTTCCCCCTCCTTCATCCACTTTTGCACTCTCCTCCCCACCCGTCCCCTCTCTACCCACCCACTCCCCCATTCCCTCACCCACCCTATCCTAGTCCCCCAAACCCCCATCACAGCCTCCCATCTCCCAGGCCATCCCCCCTTCTCATTAACCATCTCATAAACCTCCCTCTTATACCCCACCCTCACATTCGGATTCACATAAATACCCTTTTTTTCCCTCAACGGATTATCAGCATGAATAAGACAGCATTCGCTACCCTCTACATGTTTTTCCGCAAGAGAATCAGGGACACCTCTGAATTTAAGGCCCTTGGATTCTTTCTGTGAATTCGAAGAAATGAAAGAGGAAGGATACCAAGGTGTCCCATCAAAAACAACCATTCCGTTCCAACAACTCTTAACAGGTACTGGATCATTTCTTTTCAATGCATCTAGAGATTGTGAGGCGTAGAAGTAGGGCCAGGAAAGTGATGAAGTTTTTCGACCAGAGGAATCGCGAAGGGCAAAGGTATCATAGTATTGGGAAGGGAGGGAGAAATCTAGGGAGCAGGCTGCTGCATAGAAGTTGTTGTTAGTAGCGAGTAGAGTTGTTACATCGGTTGTCTGTTTCAGATTTAGTCAGGCGCTTGGTTGTAGGGATAGAAATGGTGAATGGAATGAATCGAGTGAAGATAGAGATAGAGACATGGGAAGATTACGACGATGAATATTGATAACAAACGAAGAGGGAAAAGGAGAAGAAACACGTGACAACATACCGTAAATACCACATCGTTAATCCACAAAATCTTATCAAATTTCCTTCCTCTCCCTTCATCCCATACCCTCAACAGAGGCTCCATAGCTCTATTCCTCAATCTCGCCAAATAAGGTATTCGTCTCACTTCCCACCCACTTTCACTTTCTTTCCTCCCCGTATGCAACCATCCAGTTCTATCCTGCCCCTCCTCTGGCACGTGTCTTAATTCTTCGAGCTGAGCAAGACGATCCATACCCAATTCAATCGTCCTTTCCACCCCCGCTTCCCCTAACATCCCATCCAAATCTATCAGCGCTGCTTTCGTTCCATCCCACGAACCCGATTCAATAATCGAGACATACACATTCTGGGGACCCAGATGGTGAACCAGGGATACAAGAGCCGGAGACCAATTTTCCCTGAGCATTATTTCAGATTTACGAAATATGGCTGCTATGAAAATTGTTTCATTATTGGGGTTACCCATTTGTGGTTTAAACCCCTGAAAAGCCCGTCTACTTTCAACATCACTAAATAATAATGATTCTTGATTTTCCTCCCCTCCAACCCTTTTTGCCGATGAAGAATCCTGGCCTGGTGATGAGGGGGCTTCATGTTGATTTGACGTCAAATCCGATGGATTAATCGCCGAAAATGGAGGCGTGATGGTACGTATTGGATTTGGAAGTTGGATGATGATCCAATAAGCATCAAAAAGGAAAATAACCACAAGAGCGAGAACCAGATTCGGAAGACGTGAGTGGGGATGAAGAGGGGATCGTGGGGCACGAAGGTAACGTTTTGGAAGGAATGTCATGGTTTGATTTTGAATGTTGATGCCGGTCTGGTCCTGCTAGGAAGGATGTGTGTGTGGTCCAGTCGGGGTTGTCTTACGACCGTGATGAGGGATTTTGAGCGGGCCGAAATAGCTAGGTATGGTAAACCTAGCTCCGAGCTACCTAGTAGCAATGCAATATAGAACGTGCTCAAGGAACAGTCAAACTTATAATAAGAGGAGTAAACAGTGATCCTAGTATATAGGTAGTATCGGGCGTCCCTTTCGGAGATATGATACAGAGGGGAAGGTGGTGGCCAGGCGTTTGAATCCGGGGTCTAGATTCGAGCCCGTCTCGACAATTCTATCCTGTAGGAAATATGTGGAGGGGCGGAGCTTATGAAATTATGAGCTTGCGAATTTGTACTTCGTGAAGAAAGCTAAATCCTTTATTCATTTGAAGCTTGGGAGACGTGAAGGAAAGTTAATGCATGATTTTCTGGCTTTTGTTCTGTGAATAACAGTTGGTTGGTTTCTAATTTCCGTTTTCAGCAAAACTTCGTGATGTGACGAAGACTAGGTATGTGACCTACCAGCACCAAGAGATCTTGTTTGGCGCGTAAAGATTATTATTTATCTAACGCATGAGCTTGAGAATCCGTATGTCAAAGGATTCAACTATATTTCCACAAGTAGCATCCTGTATATACATCCCCAACTGCACTCGTACAGTAACAAAGGAAAAAAGCGAAGAGAGGAAGAGGACAAAAAGGCGCAGTGCCGTTGGAAGACGCAATTGGAAAGTCAAGGGATCGGAATATTACATTGATAGGAGTAAGAACCCTACGCATGTAAGCTCGTTAGTGTTCGGCCCGACCGAGCTTACTTCATTCAGCGATTGATCTGAGACATGGTATCACCTGCAGCGCACTCCTTCTGCTTATTCCGTACTTAACTGCGTAGGTAGCTAGTTATTCAACGATCTGGGGATGCCCAGATCTTCAACTTTTATATCTTCGGTCTGACGACATACAAATAAAGTATTTCGATTGAATTTCTAAGTAGTCAATCAGTTTGTTGAAGTTCAAGCAATAAGTCATGCTGCCTAGTGGTAAGCAGGCTATCTTATTCACCGTCGTGATAATGAACGTTTTTATTTGTACTTCTCATTGAATCATGTTATATCACGATGCAATGACGCTAGTATTGTGTTAAAAAAATGTTTATCATAACATTTATACACTCTATCTATCTAATGGGTATTTGTCTATCTATCTATCTATCCATCCATCAGTGCGTCTAAAAAAACGTGTCTATATATATAAATTAGGCTGAAGATTCAATGGCCTTTTGTTGCGCCTCAAACTCCTTACTGAAAGGATAACTGGTATATCCCTCAGCCTCCTTCTTGTTGTAAAAGAAATTTCTATCATATGGAGTGAACTCAATTCCCTCCTTAACTCTGAATGGGAGATCTGGGTTGGCGATGAAGTATCTTCCGAATGCAATCACGACATCCTTTCCTTTGTATTCTTCATCAACAGCTTTCTTTGCAGATTCGGGCTTGAAACCTCCAGCGAGGAGAACTGGGCTGGTACCATTCCAGATATCGATCAAGAAGTCAACCTTCTCGGTTGCTTCGATATTTGCATCACCGGTGATTCTTGATTCGACAACGTGTAGGTATGCAAGACTCAATTTCTTGAGCTCTTGGACGATATAAGTGAATTGTGGAACAGGATCTGCCATCTTCATTCCTTGGAATGGAGAAAATGGACTCAATCTCATAGCAGTCTTCTCAGCACCAACAGCTGCAACGACAGCCTTGGTAGCCTCAAGACCAAAACGTGCGCGGTTCTCAACACTTCCTCCCCATGAGTCGGTACGCTTGTTTGCTGTATCTTGGAAGAATTGATCGACCAAATAACCATTTGCTCCGTGGATCTCGACACCGTCAAATCCAGCTTCAATTGCGTTCTTGGCAGCTTGTGCGTATAATCCAATATATTCCTTAATCTCGGCCTCAGTTAAGGGTTCTGGCTTGGCACCTCCCTCAAAGGCAATATCGCTCGAAGACTTCAGTTTGTAACCACCTTCTTCTTGTAAGTTTGATGGGTCTGCAGCTCTTCCTAAAGCCCACAATTGTATCCAGATGTATGATTTCTTTGCGTGTACGGCATCGGTGACCTTTTTCCATCCGGCAATTTGTTCTTTACTCCAGATACCAGGGGGGTTGGCATAACCGGCAGCTTGAGGAGCAATGAAGGTAGCTTCAGAGATAAGGAGTGTGCCGGGAACAGAAGCACGTTGGGCGTAGTATTCGGCAACCATTGGAAGGGGTACGTGGTTATCATCGGCACGGAATCGAGTGAGAGGTGCCATGGCAATTCGATGTTGGAGCTCGGAGGTTCCGACTTTGAGAGGGGTGAAAAGGGTTGATGAAGACATGATTATGTCGTATTGTCGAGTAATTGGTGTATGTATGAGTACGTAGTTGAAGTTGTAGGTTTAATTGCTTGTCTATTCGTATACTTGTCTGAATCAAAATGAAATGGAATGAATTGAAAGCAAGAAGAAGCCACCGACCTACCTTTATACCTTCCATTGATGTGTGGGAATATGGCGCAGTTGCGCATGAATCGGAAAAAACCAAGTGAGTTGATTGTTCAGCAAGATGGTCCTAGCAATCATGTCATTCCACTACTGATGCTTACCATACCAGATAACCCATAGCAATTTGTATTGAACATCTTGGTTTGGCGTATCATGTATGCAAGATATCTCCGAGGGTAGTGGGGGTTTGTTCGGGGAAATGATATTCAGCAAGAGACAGTTTCTGCAGAGATCTGAAGCTTTCCGTACAGATGGATAAGACCTTTTGCCCATATTGCGGTAGCGAAGATCCATCAAAGCTTATAAATCAAAAAAAACTTTCATGACGTTTGGTGAAGGCAATTGATTCTCAACTGCCGACATCCGACTAGGAAGTTGGATTATGTAAGCTATGGAAGATGAGAACTAGGTAGGTGGGTAGTAGAGTAGGTAAGGAAGAGAAGTCAATATTTGAAATTGAAAAGGTACAATGTATCTCTCTCTACCTTTCTATCTGACTACTACCTAATTAATTGCCTATGAAAAATAAGATATATCAAAGTAAAAAAGCAAGAAGACATTCCCCCAATATCAAACAATTTCTTGCGTTGTAAAAGTGCCAAGATTTTTGGAAGAAAAAGTGGATTTCCTATCTTCCCCAAAACCCTTATAATCCTTACTAATTATTTCGTATATCGCGTACATCTGGAAAATTCGAAAAGCGCTAGCAAAATTCGATAATTCAAGCTTAATGCGGGTTGAGATTGTATCGCCTACGTACGTACTAGGTAACTATCAAGGTTCACCAGTTGTTTGATTTTGACTTGCTCTTCTCTCTACTTCATCAAATTACTACTGCTTCTCGAATTTTCCAAACGAATAAGATGTTTGAAAGAGGGTCAGTTAAAAGGAGCTGGAGAAGTAATAAACAACGTACCTATCCTACCCCATTCGTAAAAGCAGCGACCCCTCTTCCCACCCCGCTCATGAGACTCCCCAAAAAACTCGCTCACCAAAACGAAAAATATCAATATCTTCTTCATTTTTGGAGATAAAGGAAAGGGGTGTTGGAAAGTGCAAAATGTTACTGGAGCGGCAGGGAGTCGAACCCTGGACTTCATCGATACTTGTCGTGTGTCTCGGGTGAGATATATGACAATGCAAACGAGGCACTCTACCACTGAGTTACAGCCCCTGGTAGTTGTTTTGATCGAAGTGTACTATTTAAAAATATATTTCTAGCACTATCCAGAGGGGATATGTGGTGGAGCGTTGACTCTCAAAGATGATAAATTAGATAAGGTATTCTCAGTTGATTACACTTTTATCCTATGCTAATCGATGGCTCTGATTGAGGGAAAGTCGTCAATATAAAGAGAAAATGTAATGAGACAAGTATACTGGTACATACACATTTCAATCGAAACAAAATATACAGTAACGAAAATATCTCAATCTACCAGATAGTCAATATAAAATCAACAAACAATGATTCTCAAGACATTCGAACATCTTTAAGCTCCTTGATATCAGAGCTATTTACTGGCACAGACAGAAATATAACTATCCACAAGCCTTCCAGCTAATAATAATTTTTGAGAGTCGGCACTATACGCACCAAGAAGAAATACGACAGCTCGAATAGATGGCTTACAATACGGAGTAACTATCTAATTGACCATTCTTACAAATCAAATCAACACTTCATATCAAAAACCATCAAACCTATGCATACACCCATATTTCCACTTTTTATTAATACATTCCCTTCCCTTCCCTTCCCTTTTCTAAATACAGCGGACACGGCAAAGATCAATAATCACAATGACGGGAATCATGATTACTCATCCACATATTCTGATCGTATATCGAAACCAGAAGGTCCGTGTCTCCCACAGAAAATTGGTGGGTTCAAGTCATATCCCCAGGTTCTCTATGGGTTTTCAAGGAGGGGAGAGGAATGCATATACGAGTGATTTGAAAGTTTAAAAACATCGAGAGAGTTTTCTAGTTGATTTCTGCGTCTTTTTCGGCTTGCGGGAACATGTCTCTTTCCGGAATCCACCAGTGGGTGCATGGATTGACGGGACACTTCCCAATTTTCAATATCTTTCATAAATTCATTCTTCAATTGTTTAATATCAGAATTCGTGTTTTAATTGTTTTATTTCTATTCAAGAATTGTCACAATTTTCTAAAATAAGTGATTCGATATAGCAAAAGATAGGTATTCACAAGTTTATTTTTGTACAGTGGTTATATGAATAAGTGATGTAAAACCCACTTTTACTAAAAACTTGCTGTTTTTATATATTCTACTACTACTTTAAACAATTCAAATATATATTAAACTATCTCCCTCAAATTTTGATTTTCAACTTTTCTTTTACTTGTAAAGGCTTACAAAGCTTTCAAAAATTTTAAAGATTTTAATAAACTATTTAACAAAATTATTAAAAAATAAATCTATTTTAATATATTAACATACTGAAATCTATATTTGTAATACTTTCTCTAACTTTAATTCACTATAATAATTTTTAAAGAATATAATATTTTAATTAGCTAAAGTCTCTATATATAGGGAAGAGCTCGGTCACTTTTTGCTATGTTTTATCATACTTACCCTTCCAACCTTCGTACTGTCCCGTGAGTCCGTACACACACTGGTGATCCGAAGTATAAGGAGAGGTCTTGTGAAGAGTGTTCATAAGATTTCGGAGTTTCATTCTAGAGAGAGGTAGAGTATATGTCCACATACTCACTAAGAAACTCCTGGCAATTTTTTGAACAATTTTTGGTTGGTCGACGATTCCAAAACTCCTCAAAATTGGTGATGTTCAATCTTCTCGTCCTTTGGAAGAAGCATGTGTTATGTGTCAGTACAGCACACCTGTTTAACAAGTGGCACTTTCTGGCTATATGATAGTGATACAGACTGAATATCTGAAATGGATGAAATCTCTCAAGCAATTCCCCCTCCTTCATTTCCCTCTCTCTAATCCACTCACCCTCCATCCACAGCGACCGATTCTCCCCAAGCCCATCACCTCTCCATACCGCTTTGAAAACCACAAGTTTCAATCTCAACCTATTACCTGCTTTATGGCACGCCAAACCCACCATCATCGCCGCAAACCCTTTTCTATAAGATTTCGTCTGATCTTCTTCCACAGCCCCCAGCTCCGTCGTCAGGATACTCAAGCTAAGATCCTGATTTTCCATTTCCCCATTTAGCCAGTCTTGTAGTGCGAGGGTGTCGAGACCTTTTGTCAAAGAGCCACAAGAGTCCTCGCTTCTTTTTGTCGTTTGCTCATTTTTTCCCATGCTCTCTCTCTCTCTCTCTTGTATCCCTGGCCAGGAGATGTGCGGTGGGTATTACATAAATGCGATTCTGTATATTCACCCTTTAGCTCCGGGGAATTCTCCTTAGGCTCAATTAATGAGCTCCCGATTTTCCTATTACAAATCAAAATACTAGGATCGGGTCCCACATTACCAGAAAGAATACTACATACGAGGAAAAGCGGCCCCGCGTCAACCTTCAACTTTCCCGCTCGAATCGTCGAGAAAGTAGCTTGAAACCAACTGGGCCACATTCCAAATTCCCTTGGGATTCTCTCCCAAAAGCCCAAATGTTCTCCCACGAGTATCAAAGCTTCATTCCCAATCGTCGGATAAACAGCTACAGGAAGCGAACAACTTAGTTTCCAGCACTTGCCAGCTATCACATCAAATCTTGGTCTTTCACACAACAAATCACCTGGGCTAACCCTATTAGAGTTTGATCCCTCTATCAAAAATCGTATCAGAGTTGTATTCTCACTCCCACTCCACGCTTTCCACTCGATTCTCAACTACAATTTCCGTTTCCAGAGTCTCACAAGATCACAAATCATACCTCTACACTCCCTCATCCCCATCGGAAGCAAGAGTAAAACAACAGGGATATTTCAATCTCACACCCTCCCATTTTAATCCACAACCTACCTTCATCTTCAAGACACAACTAAAGCTGAATTGGGTTCAGGATAGTCAAAACCATAATCCTTGAATAGCGCACCATGTGTTTTCGCATACTCTGAGCCAAAGATAGAAAGTGTGAAATCGGATATTTGGGGGTGAGGATATCTAATATAATCAGAAGACTCAGTAACCCTACATATAATATATATCAAAATACATATACCAATTGTCATTTTGATTATTATCTCTTCAAGAAGAAATATAAGGTCAATAATGAAAACATCTCTAGGAAAACAACTGAAATCTTTTATCTCTCGTCAACCTTGAGATTGCGGCGTGGGCAATCCTACTGGACTGCGTTACAAAGAACGTAATGCGGAATTGACGTCGAGAAACCTAATCGGTGATATGAGTACGAGAAAGCATTAGATTGGGAAGAGATCTTCTATCACGTGAATGAACTCTCTCATTCACTCATTCGCACCATAAAAGTTTTGTTGCATATCTAGTGAACATGGGGGGGAGAGGGGGTGGATACAAATGTCAACTTTTGTCACATATTTCCATAACCCCGGGTACAAATGATACTTTTTGTCATCATATACTATCGTTCTTTGAATTTACGAACTGGCTCTGAGGTATTTTAATGAAAACATGTCTTGAAATCTGCCTTGTGGATATCTAATTTATGCTAAATATATACTTCAAGCACCACCATGCTAGAACAAACCCCTCTGACCACGGTAATGTCCTTTTCAACTCCCCAAATATGAATATTGCCTCGACTCAAAAGTTTGTCAACCTTTGGTGCTACCTCCACTATCCTTAATTCTGAAAGACATTACCTCCCTTAATCCATTCCTCACTAATAACCAACGCATCGACCATTCCCCTCTTCAACCTCATAACCTTCGCATCTCTCTCCTTAATCTGCTGTTGCAAACTGAGATATTTTGCCTTCCAACTCTCTTCATTGTCATCCATTCCTCGCCCCATATTCCCCATTCCTTCTCTCATTCCCATCTCCAAGTCATTCTCCACAACTGTAGCTCTTATCGTAAAGTCCCCTTCAAGGCTACCAAATCTCATTTTCCAATGACATTCATAATCTGTTCTAGGTGGTGGGCCGGGGAATTCAAGTCTTGTGACGCGAAGACGTGTCATGAGTGGACCGCCTGCTAGTGCTGAAAGATTAATAAGGAAAGCTTCTGTGCTGCTAGATTCGGCTTGGAGATTTCGGATGACCTGTTTGCAGATTTTGGATGCTTCGTCTATGGAGCATCGCTGGATTGAATTTCCGGCCCCATCGTACCATTCGGCGGCAAGAATTTCTCCAATGAAATGAGACTCTAAAGCATCGATGTTGGTACGGTCAAAATCTTCATTTTGACGAAATGTTATATTGACAAAGTGTTCGAAACTGGGGTCTTGAGGTCCATTGGCAGGATTGTTGAAATACTCCATGAATGACGTTTGTTGAGATTGTTCAATTAAATCATTTTGCATGTTCGTATCAGTCTCGCCATTTAGGAGTACAACGGGTGGTGGCGGTGTTGCCAATCGAACGTTCCCACCTTTTCTTTGTGGGACTTGTAGTGAAAGTCGACTTGGCCGGGAATTTTGAACTTGTGGAATAGCTGTAGGTGGATTGGCCCTTGCACCAGCAGGAAAGAAATGGGAAATTTCGGAATCCGCCACTATAGGAGTAGCGGTTGGCGTATCTCTTATTGAACCAGGATTGGCAGGAAAGGTCGAAAAGGGACCGTCTGTAACAGAACGGTTGTTAGGTGGTCTACCTCGTAATTTTCCAGTGGAGGCACTACCATTACTTGGCCATGCTGATGATACCGCAGGCCCATGACGACGCCTTGACCGAGACTTATTTGGCGTTGTGGCTGATTGAGGTTCATTGCTATCCGGCCAAAGATGTGTTCTGTTTGATGGAGTGAGAGCTGACTGCGGATAAGCTGATAATGGAGTTGCACTGTCTGGTGGAGCGCCCCATCTAAAGTTGTCCACCAGAGGACCTCGAACTTCTGTTGCAGACCATGGACTTAAACGAGTATCGAAGCCTTGCTGAAAGGAAGAATTTGCTGTCGCTGGTGTAGCACTATCCGGATGTAAGGATGGCCTTGCAATCATGTAATCTTCGGATATTGTTGGCGAGTGTAACCGGGGACGCTGAGAAGATGATCTCCCCATTTCATCATTTTCCCTATCTTCGGCCTTCTTTCGTCCACGCTTAGGTCTTGTTTCCGGAAGCAAGGCGCGGAGAGCCAAATCTTCATCGGCGGTCACTCCATCTCGACCAAGCTCTGATGGTGGTTCACTAGGTGATGGCACTTGTGTCCAATACACATGAGGTTTGTTCAATAAATATTCAAAAAATGCATCAACATGCATTGCGTGCAGCCACCGCTAAATATTGTTAGCGTTACCTTGATGAGTTTCTGAGATCCACTTGCATACCTTGAGTCTAACAGCATATTGTTGTACTTTCTGAGCACTTTGACCTTTCTCTAAAGAAGGAGGTTCAACTCCCAAATCTATTGCCAATTGTGCCCACGTTTTGATCTCCTTGTTCTCTAATTTACAAATCAATTCGAACAATACAAAAGTGCTAAAACTCTTGTTATCACTTTTTGGAGGCGCGCGAAATATTCGCTTCAATTCAGCAGTATCTGTATCTGATGCCACTGCGGGATTGCAGTACATGATGAAGCTTACGTAGGCGTCGTCAAAATTCTCGTCTGTAACTTCTCTCGAAGGTAGACTTCGAGAGTCCTGGTGACTTGGAGATGAATTGCCCAGCGGCGAAGGTTGTCCCGGACGCTCAGGCATCACTCTATCCTGAACCTTTGCACATGATGCTTGATTATGGGCTTGAACATATTGTTCACCTCCTTGAGGCGCAATCGTGGCATATTTACTACGCTTTGTAGCTTCAGGGGTCATTGCAGGGACATGAAGGACTGGGAGCATTCTCCCACTTTTGAATTATCAGATAACCCCAGGCTAAATTTCTGATACAAGCAATGAAAATATATAGTTTTAAGAAAATATATGAGAAACTTTGACTATGATATGATAAATTGATAGATATAATGAAATTCACTCCTAATATTTGAAACATACACCCCAAAAGAAAGAGCTGTTAATGAAAGACACGTTTCCCCTTTCTCCTTACAATTATACCGGTACTCCAATTGATAGTTGAAAAGAGAGACAAATGATTCTAACGATAGAAACAAACGACGTTGGGTATATATGCTATAAAACTAATGACAAAGGTTTAGATATATTTTCGCGATAAATTAGACAAAAAAGGGGGTATATATTTAGCGTTGACAAGAATGATGAATAATTGGTGATAATTACTTTGAACCAAATAATTGTTAATGAGGAGAGATAAATTGATGTTAAGTTTGAAGTGAAGTTTAATCTGATTGAGGTGTGCTTTCTCAAGCCGAATGATGACTAATCACATGTAAGAATAGATTCTCAGCACGTGAATACTACCTAAGCACGTGTCAGTACAAATTAAATTGGGGTGGGGAATCTCTGGGACAATGCAAGGGGGCTCCGCATTGCCTCGGTAAGTCGGAAATGGGTCTTTGATATGTAAATTGACAATGCACATCTGATGCAGAGAGAGGACGAAACTACCTAGGTATTGAGGAGAATAATAATAATTCATCTTCATTCTTCACGTCTTTCACATCATAGTTCCAATCTTGAATCCTCCATAATAAACTCACACTCCCTATTTTCAATATCCGAACGTCATCAACATCACATATACCAATACGAAACAATCATGGCAGCTCAACAATCAGATAATGTTGCTCATGCTCTATCCGGTGCTGGTGGGGGCATTCTTTCCATGGCCCTTACGTATTAGACCCCTATCCTTCTCCGCATTTCAAAAGTTAACAATTTGAAGCTATCCTCTTATTACGCTTTCCACGCGCGCACAAGTCGAATCTAAACGCGCTGATTCGGGATTTCTTGATGCTGTAAAGCGTATCATCGAGCGTGAAGGTATTACAGGCCTTTATGCTGGACTCGACTCAGCACTATTTGGAATCAGTGTGACAAATTTTGTATATTACTACTGGTATGAATGGACTCGTTCGGGTTTCGAGAAGGCGGCACTCGAGGCCGGCCGAGCTTCAAAAAAACTTACAACAATCGAATCGATGATCGCGGGAGCAATCGCAGGCTCAGCAACAGTCTTGCTCACAAATCCTATTTGGGTAGTCAATACACGAATGACTACACGAAAGAGAAACAAGGAGACGGGTGAGGGCTTTCTACCTGGCGCAAAGGCACCTACAACAGTCGGCACATTGCTTGCACTCATTAAAGAAGAAGGCCCACAAGCGCTTTTCTCTGGAGTCGTGCCTGCGTTGGTGCTTGTTATCAACCCTATATTACAATATACGATTTTTGAGCAGTTAAAGAATGCAATCGAGAAGAAGAAGAGAATCACCCCAACAATGGCATTCCTTCTAGGCGCATTAGGAAAGCTGTTCGCTACTTCAATCACATACCCTTATATCACAGTAAAGAGTCGCATGCACGTTGCCGGGAGAGATGGGGGAAAGGAAAGTATGATTCAAGGAATGAGACGTATTTTGAAGGAAGAGGGCTACGCTGGATTCTATAAAGGTAAGCGATTCCTTAATTTGAAATTATTACGAGGCTTGTCGTTGACTTTACTTTAGGAATTGCACCCAAAGTCTCACAAAGTGTCATGACTGCTGCATTTTTGTTTGCCTTCAAGGACGTTTTGTATGAACAAACCATTAGGCTAAGAAGAAACCTTCCTGCTAAAGTGGCCGTGAAGTAAACATAATCTTTGGTTATCGAGGTAGACCTATGGTGCTCTTGGAGCATGGATCTGATTGTAAGTTATGGCTTTACTGGATTGTACATATATACGGTATTTGCGGTATTTGGAATGTTTAAGGAAGGGCGTTAGAAGATACCTACGTAAGAGATGGTGTCGGAATGGACTGCTCCTATTGTGATTAATAGGAAGGGATCGCACACATGCTATTTGAAATATCAGATATTATTAAAACAATCATAACAGGGCATAAACAGTCATCAATGAAGAACGGTAGCAATTTTACCTAATTTTTCTTACTAAAGATGTAGTTGAATAACCACCAAGTTTACGAAATATATCTATCTATTATCTCTCGTCTCATCTCACCCTCAATGTCTGAATTCAAACTGGACATTGAATAATTTATCAGGCTTGATCCACTAATCATGTGATCGCGCGAAAGGCAAACGCGAAGCGCCGCTGGTCTTGAGTACTTTATTTATTTACAGCGATAGTATTTGATTTGCGATTGTTACAGAGTTTTTGTTCCTCTCAAACTTTGGCGAAAAGGAAATAGCAATCAATACTATTCGAGACACACACGTATCATGGAAGATCCTACTGAAATCGATGAATATGGCTTCAGTTCTGGCGACGAGGCAGATATGCTAGACTTGACAAACGCGGTCGATGCTAGCACCAACCATGGCCACAAGCGTAAAGCTTCTCCCGAGCAGAATCCGTCGAATGCCAAGAAACAGGCAATCGAGAGCTCCCACAAGGTATTTGAGTCGGCGACGTCTGCACTGAGTCGCAACTTTGGTTTCAAATCTTTTCGATTGAAGCAGGAGCAAGCGATATCAAGAATTCTTGGTGGCGATAGTGCCGTTGTTGTCTTTCCTACTGGAGGTGGCAAGAGTCTCTGCTTTCAAGTCCCGGCGCTTGCTTTTGAAGAAGAAGACAAGCTTCTCGGCACTCGTGATGAAGGCGAACATGGCAGTGAGTAAAAGTTAAACGTGCTATGCGGTAATGTTTATACAATATCTTACGAACAAAAGTATCAGACTTCCTTAATCGAAGCTTCAGTTTATGGATCATTTTTTGCTTTCATTCATACTTTGAGAAGAATACTGATTCTAGTGATATTCAGTTACCCTGGTAGTATCGCCACTCATAGCTTTGATGAAAGATCAAGTGGATGCTCTTATTCGTCGCGGTATTTCTGCCGCAACTTTCGACTCAAGCAAGACTAGAGAAGATTTTATTCAAACATGCAACCAACTGAGAAATGGAAAGTTAAAGTTGCTGTACGTTGCACCTGAGAGGTTGAACAATGAGGGATTCGTGGAGCAAATGAAGTATGTCCGAGGAGGTATCAGATTACTCGCAGTAGACGAAGCACATTGTATCAGCGAGTGGGGCCACAGTTTCCGTCCAGACTACCTGAGTTGTACCTTTAACTCTACTGAAAACGCATCATTTACTAACTATCTGTAGAAATTGCTCGTTTTGCTGATGAGATCAAAGCAGAGAGAGTCATTTGTCTAACTGCTACAGCTACACCCCGTGTTGCGCAAGACATCTGTGATGCATTCAAAATCAAAGATTCTGGACTCTTTCGAACCTCCACTTATCGGCCTAATCTGCATTTATTGGCTGAGTCAGGAGATAGGAAGGTTACTATGCTGCCCAAGCTTAAGGACTTTTTACGAAAGCACAAAGGCTCAACTATCATCTACGTTACTTTACAAAAGCAAACGGAAAATCTTGCAAATATATTGGTAGAGGCGGGCTTCAAAGCCAAGGCATTCCACGCAGGAATGACGACTGAAGCCAAGACAAAGCTGCAGGACGATTTTATGAGAAGCAATGACATGATTATGGTCGCAACTATTGCCTTTGGGATGGGGATTGACAAGGGCTCTATTCGTAATGTTATACATTTCAGTGTCCCTCAAAGTCTGGAATCTTACAGTCAGTAACTTCTATCATGAACTCCTAGCCGTTACTACCCCAGCCGCTGCATTGAATCTCTTCTATGTTCAGCTTTACCCTCAAAGCTGCCATGAGCCACGCCTCATTTTTTTTACCGCTCAGTTTCGAAGTAGAGACATCTCTGCACTGCTAGATGATTGCAAATGCCAAAGCTCTTCATGCTGATATTTGCACAGGTCAGGAAATTGGAAGAAGTGGTCGAGATGGGAAAATTTCTAAATGTTTCTTCTTCGTATGTGGCGAGGATCTTCATTTCCGTGAATTATTTGCCCGAGGTGACCTACCATCTCTTACGTCCATTCGTGGATTACTAAACGACATATTTGATTCAACTGCCAAAAAGCTTCCCATAGGAGGTGAGATTCACAGTTCGCATTATAATCAAACGAAAGAATTCGATATCCGCGCCACAGTTCTAGGTGGTATATATGCACAATTAGAGCTGGGCCATGGTCTTATTCGTGCTACTACACCGTTATACCAGAAATATTCGTATGTTGCAAATGAGCGCATGTATCATTCCAAAATCAAGGCAGATCGAAGTCCAGCAGCAGCGGCGATCGCAGCCTGTGGCGAAGAGAAAGCTAAGTTCCATCACATCGACGTAGATGCCGCAGCTCGTCGTTACAATCTCGGAAGAAATGAGGTCATTGGCAAGCTTAACGAATGGAACGCCGAAGGAGTTCTAGAATTGAAAGCGAGTCAGGTCTTGAACGTCTACAAAGTCACTAAACCTCTTCCCAAAACCGCAAAGGAGATTGAGACAATCGCGAAGACAATCTACAGCAGCATGGAAATACGTGAAAAGCAAGCTTTGGCGCGTTCAGAGAAAATCTTACAGCTTATTACCGGTAAAGCTTGTTTTTCCAAAAGACTGGCCCAGCATTTTGGAGACGAGCTGCCTGACGGAAAGGAAGAATGCGGTCATTGTCAATGGTGCTTCACACATAAGCCCGTCGAGATTCAACTTCCCCCGCCTGTTCCTTTTAATACTACAGCTTTCAACAACGTTCTTAATATGATTGAAGAGCGCGATGATCCGAGGTTCCTCACTAGAGTAGCTTTTGGTATCTCTACCCCGAGAGTGACGGCATTGAAGTTAGGAAAGAGTCCCATCTTTGGTTCGATGGATGATCATGAATTCTCGGTAAGTGGAATATGGATTCGAATAGACTTGTGATTACAAAGTGGCTGACGAACATTCGCTGTAGGTCCTTCTTGAAGCATTTAAGAAGGAATGCAAATAGGGGCGAGCTTGTGCGGCACAACTTTGCAGTATATTTGGGCATATTTAGCGAAGGTATCATGGTCCTGCATAGGATATTTCATTTCTAGCTTAGTCGGCACAGGCCTTTGAGAAATTAGGATGAAATGAATGGTACTATTGAGAAGAAAGTGACTTGAATCGTGCATCGCATAGATGCTGGCTCATGACATAAAGCATAAAGCTCATTCTTAATACAACCCGCATTATCTCTGACATATCTAGACATTGAGCAAACTTAACGAATAGCAGCTAAAGGATCGGGAGTTCCACCATTTGTTTCATTACTTCATAGAGAGGTGTTTTTGTCCAGTATTTGTACAAGGACCCAAGCATGTCTTTTTATCCGAACACCAATACGCTAAATCAATTCATGTCCCATGTCAACCTTTTTCACCCCATATATAATACAATTGAGCCTTCATTTTCTCATCGTCTCCCCAGGTTTCGCTCATGCACCCAAAAGGCCGGACAAGGAGCCCCCTCGTCACCTCTTCCGTTCTTCATCCCGCCCAGAAGCCAATCCGTCAACCCAACGACTTTAGCCCCTACACCTCTTTCCCAGTTTCCCCCCTCTTGAACGTGCTCAATAGTATGCGACCAGATCCTTCCCTCCTCATCGAATTCAAAGAGGAAAAGTCCAGTAAATTCCTTACTATCATCCTCACCACTTCCACCCCCCAACCACTCTGTAATCTTATCCACATTCTCTCGCGCCCCAATCCCTTTATAAAAACCTCCTGTTCCTTTGTTCTTTGTCTTGCCAATAGTCTTCCATCGTACGATTAACTGTTCGCGAGTTGATCCTCTAGATGATGATTGGCTCATTCGCTCAGAAAGTATTTCAAGCTTTACATTTCCGACGAGGGGAACGCGACCCCAGGCAATAGGAGATGTCCATAGAGCGGCGGAATATGCGACGCGGCCGGAGACAGTGGGGAGATGAGGGTGCGTAGACGGGAAGAGGTGGAGGGTTATTTGCGGGGAGAGTATTTCTTGGGGAAGTGGAGACTGGAGGAGAGTAGGAAGACGTTCTTGGAGAATGCGGAGAGCTGGGAATTGTTAGTATATTGTTTGAGAGTGGGTGAATGAATTGAGGGGGAGCGGGGGAGGGGCTGGTTGCTTTTGCCAAGTTTGACTGTTCTCTCATTGTTGGGAGGCTTGTTTGAATTTTTGAAATTTGGGGGTGAATCCTCATTCCGAGGATTTGAGCCGGTGAACCAAATATCCGGTAAGGCCCTAGGTCCTGCGTTGACAGTTGCTAGACATCGAGCACTTTTCTGACATGTATATGTAGTGGCAAGCTTCGTTTGGCATGTTGAAGAAGTAGAGGAGAGCTTCGTGGCCCGTCTTCTAGTGAGGCGTAGGATACTGTAAGATTTCGACATCAGCTTGGATGGATGGCATTCATATGCAAAGACATCAATACATTCAATAAATTCGAGAATAGAATGTAAGAGTTGCAACCATTATCATAATAATTGGTTTCTACAACTTTTTTTGATATCCATATTCATTCCATCATCCAGTGATATTCAAGCTTTATTAATCGGCCTTACAAGCTGCTGATTGCCGATCAGATAGGTACAAAGCGGTGCGGTCAGGGGGTCAGTTGATCAGGAGTTTGATTGAATCACAAGAAACATCAGAAACAATAAGAATCACATTATATTGGTTTGAATCATGCAAACAATGTAAAGGAAAAAGAAGAATAAATAGTTCCAAGTATCCAATACAATACATGTAAGAGTGAGATTATTGTATCTTATTCTACAATCGTATGTTTGTGCATATAAGATTTAATAAAGATATAAATTAATATACGAGTAGAGACATTCACCTGCAAACGCCTCCTCCATCTTATACCAAGTATCACCACCAAGCCAAGTAATCCCGGCCAAATCTGATTCACGTGATACTCGTCTAACGCCCGTGGACCGCCTCTGCACCTTAAACACAGTTGAGGTTCCCAAGAGTTGCGATATCTTATTCTACAACTACAACCATAAGACATCGAAAAGGATAAGCAAGAGGTATCATATAATTCTCACACAAAACAACATACCTTTGAACAACCAACCGCAAATATGAATCCCGAGTAGTAAGTTGAAACCCCTCAGATCAAACGTCATCCTTTCATCAACTTCAAAGAAACCCCCATCTACATTATATCTCCCGAGACCCAGTACTGATGATTCTATTTGCAGAGTACATTATACATACCCCTCATCACGAAGATGCCATTACCATCGCACAGAGTGCACTCGAGTGGTCCACGTCAACATGTATATCCTGAACGGACTCCGACTGACGAACTCAATAGATACGATTACCTCTTCAAGCTCCTCCTTATCGGTGACTCCGGTGTAGGAAAGTCCTGTCTGTTGTTGCGATTCGCAGATGACACTTATACCGAGAGCTATATCTCGACTATTGGTGTTGATTTCGTGGGTGTTGCAGTTCCCGGTCTACAAAGTATTGTTTGCTGATGGCGAGGTAGAAAATCCGCACGATCGAGTTGGACGGCAAGACCGTCAAATTACAAATTGTAAGGAATCCTGAAAGAGAACAATGTGGAGGTATTGTACTGATAGTTTTGCTTCTTAGTGGGATACCGCTGGACAAGAGCGTTTCCGTACCATCACATCCTCGTATTACCGAGGTGCTCACGGTATCTGCGTTGTCTACGATGTGACCGACATGGATTCGTTCAACAACGTCAAGCAATGGCTACAAGAGATCGACAGATACGCAACAGAGGGCGTCAACAAGTTGCTCGTAGGCAACAAGAGTGATATGTCGGACAAGAAGGTTGTCGACTACACCGTTGCAAAGGTACGTATCATCACATGCTCTCAATCATCTGGAATCTTTGATCAGGGACCATGAGATTTCTTTACAAAAAAATTACGACTAACATGCATCGTTTTAGGAATTTGCTGACAGCCTCGGCATCCCATTCCTCGAGACTTCCGCCAAGAATGCCAGCAACGTCGAGCAAGCTTTCTTGACCATGGCACGCCAAATTAAGGAGCGAATTGGCACAACTACCGCAAACAACAAGCCAGCGGTACAAGTCGGACAGGGACAAGGGGTACAATCGGGGTCTGCTGGTGGATGTTGTTAGATGGTGTCATATGTCGATCGGTCGCACTTAATCTAGGTTATTGAAGAACCTAGAACGTCACGAACTTCTGCTTCCCTTTTCTTATTATCCGCATTAGACTGATGGTCCCTTGGATCGGCCTCTGTATTTCGTCTGTCTTTCGCTGCCTCCGCTAGCAAAGCATCGCAGCAAAATCACATAGCAAATCTTTGCACCAATGACGCTAAGGAAGGAAGAGGGGAAATAGATAACTTTAATGGCTGATGGACGGAGGGAACATAACCCAGTTGTGAAACATTTGGCGTGAAATGGGAGGAATTTCGGGGAATGGATCTTGTCATTGTTTTTATTTCCTTTTTATTGATGCACGGTTTTCCTTATTTGGGTCTGAACCTTATTTTTCGACGCTACTTATTGATGGTATCGAGATTCTTTTTACATTTTGTTATGACAGGCAAGGCAATATTCGAGACTTTTTCCGCGAGACATGGGCTTTGTATTGTATTGCATGATATGTGGGGTTTATCTTGATCTTGATCTGATATGATATGGCATGATGTGAAATGTGAAGCGATCTCAATCTCAGTGCTTAGGTTAATTATTTGTTGATGACCGTGAGAGCAAGTCAGTTTGTTTCAAGTTTAGAGGGGGAGAGAGTTGTGTGGGTGGATGGATGCGCAATGTCGGAGCGCTATGCTGTGTCCGGGGTTGAATTTAAGGGGGTATACGCACTTACACAGGTACTATTTGTAGAAGGGAGGCAAATAGCCAAAGATTATGATTGGTGGTTGATTGTGTCAGATAAGTAATAAGTGTCTGGGAGATTGGCTTGCGGTGTGATATTTGGGGATTTTTGTTATTTGTATATTTATCTACAAATCTATGTACCTAGTTAGGTACGTATAAGAGCTCCAAGATGGAGGTTCTGGATTTTCTTCATAGGGGTGTGGGGTTACAGAGAGTGACACTCATATGTAAGCGTGATTGTGTTTTTGACTCTGGCTAGAGATAATAGGTAAAGGTATAAATAGTGTTTCGTCATTTAGATAAAGTAACTCCTAGCGCAACATCTCTTTGATCATATTAACGTACAAGCCAATTACTTACTGGCGTCCCCAAACCCGACCCAACTCCTCAACCCCCCACACATTCTGTGGAACTCAAACCCTAAATTTCAAACCTCGATCCCCAACTCCTTCCCAATAATAACAGCTGCCTTCTCGCCAACTGCTAAAGCAGTATTATTGGTATTTGCACCCACATTCTCCGGAACCATACTTAAGTCACAAATCTTCAATCCCTGCGTCCCGTACACATTTAGATATTTGTCTACCACACCCCCTTTTTCTTTCGGCTTCATTGCACATGTTCCTAACGAGTGCCATGTTGTATTCAGATTATCTCTGATCCAATCTTCGATAAGTGCATCATCTTCGGCACTATATTCGATATCCTTTATTTCTCCCTCAAGTGCCCCATTAGATAATGCTGCAGCAGATTTCTTTCCAAATTTTGGATGTCCCAATTCTAATTCCCCACGGTAATAGGGAAGTCGTCTACATATTTCTCGTTGCATTTTATATGCCCAAAGCTGTTTCTTCAAATCACTTGGATGACTTAAAAAGCCTGCGTCAAATTCATAGCCATTCTGTACGTCGGTAGAAGACGTGATGTGTATGGAACCACGTGAATAGGGGTAGGCAGTGTATGTGCCCATGGTTATGTATTGGCCTGGATCGACAAGCGTTGGATCTGCTAGAAAGGCATTCACGACGCCGCAGAGCATGAGAGGTTTTGTGGGATAGGGAGCGAAATCTCGGTCCCAGTCTGAGACGAAGTCGGTACCGAGAGCTTCGACTTCGGAGGTAGTGGGACGGAGTTTGCTGCATACGTCTAAGGGCCTATGTCAGTTCTTGAAGGCAAGACTTGAGGTTGTAACGGGACTTACCAACTGCATTCCAGCCCAATTGAGGATCTTTGGCTCCAAGTGATTTGACGAAGTCTTTCCTTCCGCTCAAGATATTATCGATGGTTTCAGAATCATCCAGTGATGTTTTGTAGGGGTACAAAAGTAAATGATGATCTATTCACGAGACATAATCAGCCACTACCCCTGAAGAAAGCACGGGATAAATAAGCTCTGCTCACCTTGATACGACTCGCCCACCCCATCTAATTCATTAACAACCTCTACTCCGCATCTCTCAAGCACCTCTCTCCTGCCTACCCCACTTCTCTCCAAGACCTGCGGTGTCCCCAAAGCTCCTGCACTCACAACCACCAATTTCTCTGCTCTGATTGTGTGTGGAATCGCTTTACTAAGTGCAACAAAGGGTTGATGGTCCTCATTGGGTATATACTCTATACCTGTTGCGCGAGGAGGCGTAGAGGAATCGAAAAGCACACGTACGACTTTCGATTCGGGGAGGATCTTAAGATTTGGGTATGAAGATGATTGGAGGAGTGGATGAATATAAGTGTGTGCTGCGTCTTGGCGTTTGCCGTCTGGAGAGACGTAGCGTTGCCATCTCTAAAGGAAGGAGATGATGTTAAAATTTTGAACCAAAAAGATTACATGATTGAAAATATGAGATAAAAAGCAAAGGAAACTTACACTAAACCCTCCACACTCCTCTCCATCCTGCAAATCTACAATCTCTCTATATCCCATTCCCTTTATCGTTTCCATAAAGGTATCCATACTCTTTCCCTTATACCCACCATCACTCACATTGACAGGTCCATCGTTTCCATGTTTCTCTTTGTCAAATCCCTTTCCAGTAGGATGAAATGTTTCCAATTTCTTACACATTTCGAGCATGTCTTTTCCGGTCCATCCTTCTGTATCCCAAGAATCGAAATCGATAGATTGGGCTCGCGTGTACATCATGAAATTTATAGATGAGCCGCCACCGAGGAGACCGCCGGCTGGAACAATTGGGGAGCGATTGTTGAGGTGCTGGGAAGGTTGACCTTTGTAAAACTGGTGTATGTCAGTATATATAGATTGCCATCATGCTCCTCCTTTCATCTTCGGCTCCCTGATAGGATGTCCAAAAGTCTTGACCACAGTTTAACAACCAAAAGCTTTGCAATATCCAGTTCCTTCTTTACAATCTCAAAATAAGAATGTTCAAATGAATTGCAGACCAAACTATCGGCAATACTGGGTCCTCAAAGATAGAAAAGAAACGAGATAACGTACCAAAGCAGTCTTACTTTCCGGAGCCAAATGAGATAAATAAACAGCCGGAGTAGTAACACTTGGATCTTGGAAATTGTTCTTGCCGCCTTCGACAAGTAAGATTCGCAGATCTGGATTTGCCTTGGCCAGACGACCAGCGCAGACACAGGCAGCTGTGCCGCCGCCGGCGAAGATGATATCGACGGTTTGGGGAGCTATAGGTGCCATTGTTCTTGAAGAGGGGAAATGATAAGTAAGAGGGGTTATATATGGTGATTAGAGAATTGTAAAGTGCTAAAGCAGGTTATTACAATTTTCTGGCGGCGTGAAGGATAATCTTGAAATGTTTCCCAGAAGCATGTAAAAACCTCAGACTTCCAAATGGAAACAATATTAGTAGAGAAGATTGTTTGGCTCGTTCCTTTCTTGTAGGACAAGTTGTGTTCAACGTTGAACAAGTAGGGAAGCACAAGTACCTTATGTACTTTCCCGTTATAACTCATATCTCATAACTCATATCCCACATGTCACTCGTCGCCCCTCACTCCTCACTCCTACCCGCGCCCCGTCAGCCACTGCCCATTTTTGCACGTCGCTCTTTCCCCAGGTTATACAAATCAGGCCTTTCGAATTTCCACTTCCCCGCACTTTGCTTTGGTTACCCAGGTAATCCATAACCAGCGCTACCTTTAAAGTTTCCAATTGACTTATCTCCTAGCGCATAGCCACACTCTCCCTCTATCGCCGTCCCCATCATTAGATTTCCTCGTTCCGTACTCTCCCTTCTGTCCGATGCTAGCACATGTGTATCATGATAGTGTATCTTGTACTCATCCTCCCTACGTTTCAGAACGTTTGTGTACTAACGTGTCCCCAGATAGAAATGTACCGAAGTCCCGTGCCATCGCAAGCGCCAGGTCTATGCGTGATCGACGGACTAGACTCCGCCCCAGACGCTGAGAAAACGAAAAGATGCCGTCCCTATAAATCATGTTCTTAACTTCTTGTAGTATGATTGAACGATTTGTTAATGGATGCTAACTTTACTAGCGAGGGTCCCCTAGAATCCTCGTATAGATACGACGAGTACATCGGTTCGTAGAGAATAACGTAAAATATTAATCAAAGCAAAATATATTTCTGTCTATATATATCCACGTGTGTGTGTGAATATTTGACAAATATTAATATAATGAGCCATCAACATTCATTCAAGCTTATCACTTACTGAGATATCTCCAAGTCAGGTCAAATTTTAGCAAGCTACATATCTAGACATTTCGCAAAAGTATCAACTATTAAATCTATAACACACATATCATTATCATTCGTTCCTATAAACTGCGTAAACTATTGTACAATTGCATTCTCCGTGCTCTCAATTGTTTTCCATCTCCTTTTTTAAATTGACTCAATGTTGCCTGCTTGTTTCATTATGTTATGCTTTTCTCTGTTTTGTTCCGATTGATTTGGCTTGTACATCAGGAACCAACATGAATGTGAATAAAAATGCATCCTGGCCATCCAGTAGTTCTCACTAATATTATGATAGTTTTTGAATGTTGATCTGCAATTTCCTGGGAAAAGAGAAGGAAACCTGTCCATATGCAGACACTGTGCATCAAACGAGAACTTGCTTGAATTCATGAACTAAGTTGAAAGAATTAAAAGAACTATAACATGAACAAACCCGGACGAGAACCCAAACACCTCATCACCCCTTTGTCCCAGACATCCTTAAACGCCAAAAAATTCACCCTCATCTCAGGATTTGGTATTATGTACGCCCCCAAGAATCATCATTAAACACATCAATGCACACTAGAATTTCTCCCGCATTACACCCCCTTGAGCTGATTTGGTTGTAATGTCATCATATTGAAGGGGCTCCTCGGAATACAATTCAATCCTACTACTTAGCCGTGCCTGTTGTGACCTTTCTCAAATTCTTCAGCATGTCTTCAATCAAAGACTCTGAATCAATTGGCACGTCTGGTAAGTCATGGGTTTGCGGAGGAGGAGCAAAAGTTTGTGGCTGTACCCTCGAAGAATTAAGGTTCTGGAAATATTGCTGACGAGGATAGATGGGTTTCGCCTCCTGCTGAGGAGATTGAGGTGGAACCTGAGACTGATTCGAAGCATTGATCGGTTGCTGACTGAGTTCTGTCCGGGTGAGAGAAGGAGAATATGAGGGAGGAGTAATGAGAGTAGCTTTTGCAACCGGTTGAGGCTGCGATGATGAATTATGGCCAATCTTCTGTGCAACTTGAGGCGTAGGTTGAGATTGGGGAGGTTGAAGTTGTTGGGACTTCTTAGGTTCCTCAGTTTGTTGAGCTTGCTTGAACTCAGTTGTTTTTGGCGCTTGAGACGCGAATCCAGGTTGCGTGGGAGAGCCTTGGCCACCAGACGGAAGGTAGGGTGAATTTTGATACTGAGTAGAATCGTGACTTTTGTGGTTATGTTGCTGATGACCTTGCTGCTGAGGATTTTGTTGTTGACCTTGTGGCTGCGGCACGTGGTGATTGTGAAACATCGAACTGTACTCCTTCCGAATAGCTGGGTGCAAGGGTGAGTCTTTCCTTTCCCATTGATTCGTGTCGTACGGCTTAGGCGTGACCTGTTGAGTTGGCGTTTGCTGATGTCTGGGTATGGAAGGTGAAGAATAGCTTGGTCTTGCAGATGAAGTTGCGGGAGAATATATTTGGGACCCATTAGATGAATAGGAACCGCGGGAGGATTGGGGGGTATAAGAAGTAGGGTAGGATGCTTTCCTGCCGACACCCCCGGTATAGGAAGAAATTGATGTTGGGGGTGATGCTGTAGATGATCCCGATTTTGCAAATAGGGTCTTCTTGAGATGCTCTGTCCAATTGCCTTGGTAACCATTCATGAATCCTCCACCTTCTCTGTAGGGGCTCTTGTATTCCATAGGTGAGCGGTTATGCTCGATCTGCAAGTAGAGATACTTCGCAAAAACATTTCCCATTTTAGGAGCAGCTGCTCTACTACTAAAGGGGTTGTTTCCTTTCGCCAACGACTGAGTTGGTCGATAATTTGTATTAGGTGGAGCCAGTGGACTGGCAGCTGGCTGGGATTGACGTGGTGTAGCTGCTTGATGAGGCTGGCGTGGTGGAGCGTATTTGACTTGTGGTGCATAGCTATTATTTGGTGTATAAGCAGCTCTCGGAGGAACAACCGCAGATTGATTCGTAGAAGCGATTGCGGGAGGCGTCGTGGAAGTGGGAGCAGGAGACGCCGGGTTATTTTGAAACCTGGGATCAGTACCAAAGTTGAGACCAATTGCAGGTACTTGGACAGGCCTAGATGCCGCTGACTGTCGCAAGAAAGCTTGTTGAGATTGGTATGATTGCGCATCAATCAAACCGCTGTGATAACCATCTTCAGATTTACGAGGCTTATACACATATGGTTTCTCTGACCTCGCAACGAAAGGCGCGGAAGTTCCAGAGGATGGTGCCGCTTGATTCGCAAGTTTGGTAGCAGCCATCTTCTGCATTGCCTGTGCCCCCGGGCCCACATTGGAAGTGTTGGCGATGGGCATCTTTGTCGCGGTTGCAGAAATTTTGTTCGTTGTAGGATATGAGGCTGCGTAAGATGTACGTGGCGCAGCTGTAGCCGGTTTGGGAATTGTATCAAGAAAATGTCCTTTAGGATTGTGTCTCTGGATCTTTACATCTTCCGTAAATTGTGCCCTAGCCTCTGTGGAGTTCTTTCCAAGATAGTACCAAACTTGGTTCTCCTTGCTCAAATCTAGTTTGACCTGTGCCGCATTGCGAACGATACTCTCTGTATTAAACTCTGCCCATGTGAAGCCCTTAACAAAAGGATCTTCAGCTCTTGGAATGTCATCAACTTGACGTTTTGTGGTGTTGAGTGACGCTGCCTCAATACGAGATTTTGGCATGGGGATTGCTTTCTCGGATGGCTTGGCGAGAGTGAAGAACGACGCGTCGGGAATGAGAATCCATTTATATTCGACTTCAACTCGGTCACTAAGAGGTGAGTTAGCACGATTGTCATACAACCATAAAATGTTTTTACGAACCCGCGAGGCAGAATATCAACAAGTACTGTCTCTTCATCTTTCCGATTCTCGATGATGGTACCTGCAAATATGTCGCCCTTGTAAAACTGCATTTGACAGACTTCGCCAACCTTCAACTCCTTGGCACCATTCCGAATACGATCGTCCTCCTCGAGAGAATCGCTGTCCAGCCTCTTATCGCGTTTGATGCGATGGAAGCGACAACTAAATTCGATGCCCCACTCTTTGTACTCGGTACCATCCTCTCCAAACACTGGAATTTCACCTTGTTCAACAAAGACGCCCGCTGCTGCTGCGCAGGTCGCATGGTATGCTCTTGTACACTTCTTCTTAGAGCATTGAAAGCATGCACCTTTCTTCGAGCGGCAATAGTTGCACTTGAGGTCAAATCGAGCTTTGGAAATCTCCTTGATGCCTGTAACCACTTCTTTCTTATCTGCTTCTTCCACGATCGTTTCTGGAATGTACTGAGCACACATACGATGTGCCTGTTTACCGTCCTCGGTTGGGAGTAGAGGCTCGGAGGGAATGTCGTTGGGACACAAGACACAAGGTTCGTTGACCGGTGCTTTGATGCGCATTCGAATTCTCTTCACATTTTGCTGCTCGTCCGACTCACTCTTGACACGCTTTCTCTTACGTTGAGTCTTGGTTTTGACCTTCGCGTCGCCACTGCTGTCAGGGGGAGTAAGGAGATCTGTCGTTTCATTTTCGTCCTCTTCCTCTTCTTCTTCGTCCTCGTCAAAGTCGGTTTCATATTCAGTCTCTTCGCCATTCATCTTGCGTTCTAAATCCCGAACATTGATCCAAACACTGTCTTGAGCTTGATCACAGTCGCACTTCTTAGCCACCTTTCCATATTCAAGCCAAGATGGCAAACCAAAGTTAACAGCCTCAGCGCAATTATACCCGAGATTGTATCCAGAATGATATCCGTACGGGAAAGTAATCACAAACTCTCCTGGTCGGTGGACAATTTTGTTAACCTTAATGTTATAATTTGACAACAAGTGCTGAGGTGATATCAAAAAAGTTTTATGACGAAGAAATTCGCTACAAGCTTTAGCATCAGCTGGCCAGATATTTTTCATCGCAGCTTCGAATCGTCGTGCATCCCCCTGAGAGATACTATACCATTGCTTCGGTGCGCCAAAGTGAAGATAGTTGATACTATAGAGGTCGACATCCTCCAAATGCCAGGCAAAAGTGGCTTTCCACATGCCTAGGTAAAGATATGCAGTGTTGACACCAGGAATCTGCCCGCCCAAATGGTCAAGTATATTGGGTAACTTTCCAAGGTTCCATTCAGTCGTTCTATCATCGAACAATGATCCCATCATATCCGCTCCATAAAGTGGTGGAGCATATGTGAGGGTACGCCAATAGTGTCGTTCTAATTCTTCACACCTCTCTGCCGAGTAATCCTCACCCTCTAGCTCGTATTTGAAGTTCTCAAACGCGGCTTCGTCTACTACGCCTGCTTCACCACGGCGATTGTTTTTACGTCGAGAAGAAACGGATATGGCTTTAGGCTGTCTTCCCCCCCTTGGTTTGACAGGCGTATCATCCTCGTTTACTTCTTGCTTGACGGACGATGAATCACCTTCGGTTTTCGGAGATATTGGGGTAGGTAAACGATCTGGAGTTCCACCTTCTGAATCGACAGTAGCATTTGTCTTGAGTCTGGACGGACGGCCTGGTTTTCTTTTTCCTCCGGGTGTTGGAGCCTTTGCTCTTGTTGTAGCTTTAACTTTTTCAACATTGGCTCTCCTTTCACCTCTCTTGGCAGGAGGCTGATGTTCGCTTTGATCGCACAACTGTCGCCATTGTGGAAGATTGTAAGAACGTTGATGGAGAATGTTGGCTTGTCGGTATGTTCCGCTCTGACCCATGATATCCTGTTTAATCGGATCCTTCACTCGAATCGTTTTTATAGCATCGTCGAGCGGTGGAAGGGCAGCTTTCCATTCGGGTGGTGGAATAACCTTGACAATACCAGATTTCATACCATATTTATTGACTTTATCCATCTAGATATCGTCGCATTAGCATACGCTCCAAGGGGATTTGGACGAGATCGTTCACTCACGAAGAGATTAAAGTCCTTGAACTGAGCCATGGTCGGCATGAAAACAGGGACTCTGCCATCATCTTCCCAATGTTCTGGTTCAATTGGCTCGTCTGCTGTGAACTCGAGATCTGATAATTCTGAGTCGCTTGATGGATCGGTTCTGATGGTGTTGTTGCTTTCTGGTGGCGAAGCAAGACCCTGCGGGATCGCAGATTGCTCGCCCTCACTGGGAACAACTACCTGGTCGGTAGCAGTCGACATCGTGTAGGCTCACATGCGATCGACCATGCGTCGTTATTATGCGTGATGTGGTTGCGTTATCAAATCGTGAATTTGGGATAGTAGGTGAAGGTCGTCGAATTGTGGAGGGGGGATTGAAGAATGATGCGCACTCTGGAAAAGAATGGATTGATTCTTGGCAGATGTCGAAAGAAACAATTGACAACTTTATCCTCTTAAGAATAGATGCAACTTTAATGTCCTCGCTGATATGGGTTGGAATGATTTATCGAATTCGCTGTTGATTGTCGGATTATCGTGTATGTATTTCATACGGCTACTGAATGAAACAGGACAGGACGATTTATTGAGGTGCGATTTCCCTCGAATGATTCTCCTACTTGCCGATATGAACTAACCTTTATCCACTTTAGCGCACCTTCTTTCGGTTCCCATCTCTAGAACAGTGGATCTGCATTTTTGATAAAAGAAAAAATGGTTCACCAAGATTACTTTTATCTTTTACCTTAGTCTTCCCCATCACTTCAATCATTCTCGTCGATGATTTCTACGTTGATCAATACGTGTTTTATCGTTTGACAATTTTATTGTTATAATTACCTATGTGGGTGATTTGTGTGATTATAATCCTCTTTATTATTTTTTATCTTATCGTATAATATAGCGACACAGAATTCTTTCTATATACACCTCATACATCAACAAATAAACCAAGATATCAATTACTCCATCGGAGGAGATAGGAAGGGGTGCCAACAATTAGGTGCGATCCAAGTATATGGTGACATTGAAATTCTTCCCATTGTATGAGATAAGGAGATAACATACACACACACACATACCTAGTATATACATGTCCACACTTCGGTAGGTCCAAGTATTGCAGCTGTTAAAGATTATTGCTTATTATTGTTCTGCAATTTATCCCCCCTTTTCCCCTTTGGCTCTTGCATTCTATCGATCCTTCGTGATTTGTCCAATACTTGGTTTCTTCTTCTTACTACAATTACAACTATCATGGATTGATGGCTTTATCTCGATTTATCCCGGTCAGGATCGTCTCATGCAGTGCACAGTTCACCATCCTGTAAGATGAGCATCATCATCTCAACTTATCCATTATCCATACAGATTTGGATTTCATCATCACAGTACATAGATAGGGCTGAGAAGTTTATCTTTACCTACTAGTCTCATTGCTTTATACCGTACAGTTTCGGAGCTTGACTTGTGCATCTGTGTGCAGTTACAGTCCGTCCATATCAATCAAGTCAAGTGCGATAAAGAATGATACCACATACATCTCTCAGATCCTAAAGTCATGATTGAATTATCGACTTGAATTCTACGATATATGTCGTATAATTATGCAAAGTCGATGATATGACGTGGGTTTCGGCATGAGATGATTGAGATACTCGATAAGTATCTGATAGGAAAATTACCCCTGCACTAGTGAAATCTCTGTCATCGAGCTTGCATCAAGCCAAACCCATCTTCGTCAAATTTAAGCTTCCATAAGGCGTAGGGCCGAGTGGCTAAAAGCGGTGACACCTTTACATCTCCACCTAACCTACCTAAGCAAATCTTACCCGTTTTCCCCATGACATCCCGGCAAATCTGGGGAGACATAGTGTCTCACTGATTGGAATCACATCACCACAGCCCAGTCATGATCTTCGAACATGTCTAGCTGGTGTTTGTCGAAGAATTTGAATACCAACCTCGCAAACATTCTACTGGCATGTAGCCCTAGGCATTTTCGTCCAAGGTATCGATGTTATCTTGGAAATCCAATCTGATTTGGCACATGAATAGGATCTGGATATCTGATCTGGCTCGAGAATATGATTATTTTGTTTGTATGATCAACGACATCACTGGAGGCAGGGCAATAAGATGCAATTAGATGTGCAAAATGTGAAAGTGGACAAGAACTGGGCGACGAGCTCACGAATCAAATCGCTCGGCAACATACATATGGCTTGACACTGACTCGTACTCTATACAATTAACTCCCACAAAATTGGACTTAAGGAACACTTCGACTTCAACATGAAGAAAGTTCCATTCAACAGTCGCCAAGTATGACGATTGTGTTGAAATTTTCAAGTGTTCGTACCCTTTTTATCACTGATGCTAGGCTAATCTTATCTTAGCCCCACACCTTATAAATAGCTCACACGTCCATTGATCGATTTTTACTTGACTTTCACGAACATCACGGCTACAATGTATGTGAATAAGGCTGCGATGTCTGGTGCTTTGATGTGACCTCATATGATTGATGAGCTACCAATAATAATCAATATGCTGATAATGGCAGCGCAATCTCAATATTGCGCCGTACGCTCAATAACAATCCCGTACACAGGATAAACATACAGCTCGGAGTAATGCCGCAGGTATATATTTAGGAGAATAACACCCCATTGATATCGGAGGCGCGCATGGCAGATATTATGTTAGAGCCTCTGTGCCTAACAGTGCAGATACAAGAGGAAAACCCCTTGTGACCCTTCCTGCAAAGACCAATACAAAATATGTGTAACTACATATTGCTAGAAAAACATAACCCTACACCATACAAAAACATCTTGCAAAAACCTCGGCACAATGATTTTCTCGTAGGCTCTACAACATTTCACTGACGCACCCACTCCACCCGCAAATCACAGATCAAACAAACGAAACAAACCCTCGCCTCACGCCATCTAGACCATATCCCGTATCCCATCGTCCTAGTATCCAGCAACCTCACAGCAAAGCAACATCCCCCAACCAAACATCATATCAGACACAAGCCCGCAAAAACCACCCACTCTCCTGTCCCATTCCAACTGCCAACTCCCCCATCTTCCTCCTATTTCAAATCTCGCAAGGCCCCAACATAAACGTAAACTTGCAGCTAACACTTTAACAAATATCCAACACACAATCCAACATTCCTTCAATTTCATTCGCATAAATTACAGCATCTCACCTCACATCTCCTCACCTACAGAATCCTTAAGACTACCTGCAAGCCAATTGTGAGAAATTCGCCGAACCACGGCGTAGGACTCGAGACAATAAGATCTAGACAAAACACAATGCTGATTTTGAGATTAGCACGACGTAGCAATATCAAGTGCGAACATCAATTTCGAAACACTTCGCGGTGAGATGGCAGGGAAGTGGTTGGCAGTGAGTTTTCTTACTGAAATGAGGTGAGAGTCAAATACCACTTTATGCTGGATGATACTCCTCACTGTATACACAACCAAAAAGATCACTGATCACTATCATCACTCTCTCACATAATTATGTATCGGGGTACTTCTTTTCATCGTTCACGCAACCATCAAATCATGGGTATCAATCATTCTATTTTGTATCGTTTCGATTTGGCCAGTCCAATCCGATCCGATCCGTTGCGTTCATCCAGCCCAGCCCAGTCCAACCGTTCTAAAAGACCAAGACCAGCGAACCAAAGACCAAACCAACCGAACTTTTCAATGTGTGCCCCGGGTATGAACAAGCAGCCTGCATAAAAGCGCGCAAAAAGGAAAATCAAGTTGGCCAAAGTGCAGGAAATGCGTGTTGTGCATGTAATGCCATAAAAAACGAGACGCTCTCCCATATCGTATTTATCCCTATGCCATATCCAGCCAATATCAAGAACATGACAGATTCATGCAAATGCTTAATTGTGCTGTTTTCGCAATTGCAAATATTGAATGCAAGAAAAACTTTACCCATTTCGCCTTTGTGTGATGCCATGCCGCGAGAAAGAAGTTGAATAAAAGAATGAGGATATTAAAAGTTGCGTGAGCTAACGCATCTAGGATTTCACAATTTGTGAGGCCATAGAGCTGTTTCCGAAATGTGGATCTATGATGACTCGCCTCTTGGGGCACGGGGAGCACCACGAGGACCACCACGGCCACGTCCTCTATATCCATCGCCTCTAAAGCCACCACGACCTCGGCCACCTCTACCACCTCGGTGATCTCCACGGCCACGGTTGCGGCTGACTTCATGGAAGCCATCATTGTTGCTGACTGGAGGGGTTGGGGTCTTCTGAAGAGAAGTTGTTAGAAGGATACTCTCATTTACTGTATAAATCGGGGCTAACTTACTGAAGCAGGACTCTCAGGTTGCTCATCGGCCCAGCTTTGAGTGTTAGAAGGGGCAGCAGGAGTAGCAGTAACACCGAGATCTGTCTCAGTGGCTTCACGAGGAACCTCGACCCACTCTTGCGATGTAGACAAATCATTGTTATTATCCCAATTTGCCTCAGCTGCAGCATTTCCTCCTTCGCCAAAAGCTGAATTTTGGGGAATTCCTTGAGCTTCCTCGAAGCTTGGTGCTTGGTGGCCATTGCTCAATGCACTCGTAACGGGGTCATCGATTTCAGTCAAACCGGCATTGGCAATAGTTGGGTCACTTTGGACGGGATATTCAGTGACTTCGGTTTGGCCTGTCTCTTCATCTGCAGGCTCAGTGGGTTCAGCGACAGATGTGGTTGGCAGCGCAAGGGCAATGGCCTTGATATCGGCAACTAATATACCAATCAGTGAACTGTTAAAATTACAACTACAGGTGAACTTACAGGTTGTGGTCAGTTCTTCGCCGTTGACGGATGAACAGACTTCATTAGATCCTTGGATGATTTTTGTCATGGCAGCTACAGCAGCTTCGTCTCCACTGTAAACTTGAGTGAGCAGCCCTTCAATTCCCTTGTTCTCGTCGAGCTCTGGATCATTTTCCGGGCTTCGGCGCAAGGCGGCGAGACAGAGAAATTTAGTGATGAGCAACAAGTTACTCTCTTGTTCCTCAGCCTTCTCCTTTGCAACAGAATCCTTAGCAGCCTTAACTTTCTCCTCGAGCTCTTTGTTGGCACGCTCATTGAAAGTCTTTTCGAATTCAGCCTTCTCCAACTGAAGCTTTGTCTTGTATTCTTGGTCGAACTTCTTATATTGTGCGATTTGCTCCTCAAGCTGGGTCAAAGACGCCTGGAGAGATGGCTTCTTCAAAATTTGTGCCTTTTGGTCAGCATTGATCTTGCGAGTAGCTACCAATTCGTCCAAGCTCTTGCCTGGGTTCTCGGCAAGAACATTATCAACTTTTGAAGCGTTGGTCTATCCGATAGATAATTAGCAATATGTCTAAGGGTGATCAAATGCAGATTGTGTTGGCTTACGATCTTCTTGTTGACATTGCGGATGCTCCTAAAACCAGTCGTTAGCTGCGTCAACCCCGCCAAAGATTGGCAAGAATGCCAATGATGCATAAATTTAGGTGGCCTAGGAGAAATGCTTACTTGTAGAGCTCCTTGATATATGGACTCTCGTATGCTCCATCTCCATTGCTGCTCTCTTCAGCATTAGTGGACGAGGCCTTTTCTGTAATAGCAACATCTGCTTGTGCGGCGGGCTTTTGCACATCGACAGCTTCAGTCTTGGCCTTCTTCTTCTTTGCGGACTTAGATTCCGGCTTAGAAGCTGGATTTTGAACTACGGAAGCAGCCATTGTGAACTTATTTTGTTGTCTGATGTTTGGTTTCGTGATACAGAAATCTCGAGAAAGATAGCTTGCTTGTGTGTGAATGAATAATTAAAATGCGTCGTCTATGAATAAAACGAAGTATTCAATACAAGAAGATGAGGAAGAAGATATTCTCAGGTTTAAGAACGAAGTCTTGTAAGATAGGATTTTTTTTAGGAAGTGTTGGTATCAATTATCAAAAGTGAGGGAGCTCCAAGATGATGGATGGGAAGAGATGTTTGGATCGGAACCTTGTCAGCCTTAGCGAACGTGGAAGAAGGAAGTGGAATAAATCTCCCTCCAACGGCAGAAGAGATAGGAGAAGAAAATCAACGCTTCAATTAAATTTTGTTAAGTATTGAACTGGAAAATGAAGTTGAGTTGTATTTAGGTATTATTTAATTCTTATTTTATTGTAGTTTGATCGTTTCAACCCCAAGTGATTAATGTATGGCTAAAAAGAGTTGCTAGCAAGCATCTGGTCATCTTCGCCTTGTCCCCCAGGCTCCGCCAAATTCACAGCCTCGTGCGTACTCCAACACATTCTTCTTCTTCCTCATGCTTGTCGACCACCAATGGCATCGTACCTAGGTATCCTTCACATCGCTATTTGCCGTCCGATCCATTGTTCGTAGTGTCTACTTGAGGTACCTAGGTATATCTCGTATTCCCCCTTCGGATTCAATCGCCCTTGAGGTCCATACCCTCTTGGAAAGCGGATTCACTATATCATTTATACAACCACTTATCGAAGTTCGAGCATCATCCCTTGAATTTCGATAGCGATAGCTAGTTTGATATGGTTATTATGGGTATGACTAGCAAGAGGGTTAGACTTACTTCAGTAACCTTTTTAATACTCTTAGCGCTGATGCCACGCTCTCCAGCCTGCTTCGCATTGATACCAGCTTCCTTCATTAACCTGAATCAATTAGACACTATTCCTGGATAATCGACTCCGCAAAATGGAGCTTATCGTGACATACGTTTCGAGAAATAGCATGTAATCGAGGAAGATCTGTGATATATGCATTAGTGAATGTTCTTTTAGCCCGGGACGCGTCGTAAAACATACCAATACATCAACATTTTTGGTGAGATTACGTTTGGAATGAGCTTTAACAATCTTCTTAAGATTGGCTCGAGGATATAGTTTCTGTCCCGTAGCCATGATTCCGGTGATGGCAGATATTATTCGTATGAAGAAGAATGCTTGCGAAAGGATTATGTTGTTAAGTTTGGTTGTGTACACAAGAATTATTACTATGATGCTCTTTTCGCGTGTTGTGATGTGATGTTTGAGTTTCTACAGCCTTGTCACATGTCGCCGCTTATTGGTTGAGACTTCAAGCTTCCGCCAAGCTTTCATCGGATAAGCTACCCAATTAGGCAAGTGGGCGGTATCGTCCCCTCCCGCACCTGCCAACCTTTAGCACACCTCTGACAAACGGACTAAATCTCCATAGTTACTTCTGATTTACTCCGTACTTGAACTCCGTGCTTTTATCCACGCTTTCCTTCGGCCTTCTTTTCATTTCTTTCTTCTTTAAATACTGGAACTTCAATCAAACTCTACCCAACCATTCAAGAACATTCCAAAACTACGAAGTCCAATTCAACGTCAACTGGCTTGACAGTTTCTTGATATCTGGCATTAGATCTCACCACAGTCGTTGAACCATTCGCATCATGGCTTCTACAGCATCCGACCGAGATGTGCTTCCAGATTCGGTCAAGCCTTCTCATTATGCGCTCTCTATCTACGATATCGAGTTAGGGGGAGCTTTTAGCTATCAAGGAACAGTCAAAATCGATATCAAAATCGTTAAGCCAACCAAGGAAATCACATTGAATGCTTTTCAACTCAAGCTACATGAAGCAGAGGTGTCTTTCACTTCCGGGAAGACTTCTCAGTCTATCAAGTCCAGTGAGATATCTTATGATACCAAGAAACAACGTGTAACTTTAAGTTTCCCGGACGAGCTTTCTGTTTCGGAAAATGCCACACTAGCAATCAAATTTCAAGGAACTGTCAACAATGATATGGCTGGATTCTACTATTCAAAATACAAACCTCAAGTCACCCCAGCCTCATCCGTTCCTAAGGTTGATGAGTTCCATTGCATGTATAGCACTCAATTTGAGTCGTCTGATGCTCGTAGGGCTTTCCCATGTTTTGATGAGCCTAACTTGAAGGCCACTTTTGACTTCGAGATCGAAATTCCCAAGGACCAAATCGCTTTGAGCAATATGCCTGAGAAAGGCTCAAGAGATTCTAAGGACGGTTTTCACTTCATTGAATTCGAAAGAACACCAATCATGAGTACCTATCTCCTAGCTTGGGCCATGGGAGATTTCGAGTACATCGAGGATTTCACAAAGCGCAAGTACAACGGGAAGCCACTGCCTGTCCGTGTCTATACTACCAGAGGATTAAAGAGTCAAGCACAATATGCTCTCGATCATGCACCCAAAGTCATCGATTTGTTTTCTGAAATCTTTGATATTGATTATCCACTTCCTAAAGCTGATTTGCTTGCGGTACATGAATTTGTGAGTCTCAAAATGTCTTTCCATCTGGAACGGCCTTTAGGTCAAATTACTATCGACTCGTTCACTAACCATTCATTCTAGTCCCATGGAGCGTATGATAGCCCCCTTCAATTTCACACCCTCAGTGTTTTATGAGTACGCTAGCTAACTTTTTAAATTATCGGATAGTATGGAGAATTGGGGTCTGGTTAGTTCTAACTTCCTTGTATGTGATTGAAGTACTTACTCACTGGTACAGGTCACCTATCGCACGACAGCTGTATTATTTGACGAGAAGACTTCTGATACAAAATACAAAAACAGAATTGCCTATGTCGTTGCGCACGAACTTGCCCATCAATGGTTTGGTAATTTAGTTACCATGGACTGGTGGAGTGAGCTTTGGCTAAACGAAGGTTTCGCTACCTGGGTCGGGTGGTTGGCAACAGATCACTTCCATCCTGATTGGTGTGTATGGGATCAGTTCGTGGCTGAGGGCATGCAAACTGCATTTCAATTGGACTCCCTGCGCAGCTCGCACCCTATTGAAGTACCCGTCAAAGATGCTTTGGATGTTGACCAAATTTTCGACCACATCAGCTACCTCAAAGGTAGCTCGGTAATTCGAATGTTAGCCACACATCTTGGCCAGAAGACTTTCTTGAAGGGTGTTTCGGATTATTTAAAAGCACATGCTTATGGTAATGCCACAACACAAAACTTGTGGTCAGCTTTGAGCGAAGCTTCTGGTCTAGATGTGAAGGCTATCATTGATCCATGGATCACCAAGATTGGCTATCCTGTTCTCACTGTTCAAGAAGAGCCTGGTCAAATTAGCATCAAGCAAAGTCGTTACCTTTCAACTGGAGATGTAAAACCCGAAGATGATGAAACGACTTGGTGGGTGCCTTTGGATTTCCAAGGAAAGGTGGGAGCCAAGGGAGCACAGCAAATCGCGTTCGAACAAAAAGAAGATGTAGTCCGAGATGTCGATGATTCTTTCTACAAGATTAATACCGATACTGCAGGCTTTTATCGAGTCAATTATCCACCATCAAGACTTGCCAAGTTGGGTTCACAATTGGATCGCCTCAGCTTGACTGACAAAATTGGTGAGTCTAGATCAAGATTTTGATTATCTTATAGTTCAGACTGCAGTTGAGTCCAACAGTGATATATCATTGTATCTAATTAATCTTTTAATACGCTCGATTATTAGATTAATTGGCATATGGGTTTCGCTCAAGATTGAATCTGTTCGTATGATCAAACGTCATTCAGACGCTCGGGTCTTTCGGTTCCGGATTGTAGTCTGGACCATGATAGCCCGATATGCTTCGTCATCTCATTCTGATAGCTAATTCTCTCCCAGGTCTAATCGCTGATGCGGGTTCACTTGCAATCTCAGGACAAGCAGGAACTCCAGCATTCTTGTCTTTAGTGCAGGGCTTAGCTAATGAATCCAATCACTTTGTTTGGTCAAAGATCCTAGGACCAATTGGTACCATAAAATCGGTGTTCTCCGACGATGATGCAGTCTCCAATGGCTTGAAAGCATTCTTGCTGAAACTAGTCTCCCCGGCAGTGGAAAAGATAGGTTGGGAACAGCCTGCAGATGAAGATTTCCTTAAGTCGCAACTTAGACCTCAATTAATATTGAGTGCTGGTCTTAATGGACACAAAGAGTAAGTTAGAAGGATTTGTTGCCTGAGTATTTCATGGCTGACAAAATATAGAATTATTGCCGAAGCTAAACGTCGCTTCGATCTATACACAAGCGGCAAGGACAAGACTGTCATTCACCCAAGTCTTAGAAGCGCCATTTATGGTCTTTCCGTTCGATATGGTGACAAATCAGAATATGAGGCTTTGAAGAAAGAGTACCGCGAAACAACTTCCATTGATGGCAAAGAAATTGTTCTCCGTGCAATGGGACGTGTTCAAACCCCAGAACTCATTTCCGATTATTTTGAATTCCTTTTCAAGGAGGTCGCAACGCAAGATGTTCACACAGGTGCATCTGCTCTTGCAGCCAATACCAAAACACGTTACCAGCTTTGGCAATACATCCAAGACAACTTTGATCCAGTCAAAGAAAGATTGTGAGTACTCAATGGCACACTGAATAGCTTCTCTATGTAATAAAAGCACTAATACCCTTGACAGATCTGCGAATATGGTTGTCTTCGATCGATTCATTAAACTTTCTCTGTCAACCTTCAGTGATGATAATGTCAACAAGGAAATTGAAAAGTTCTTTGAAAATAAAGACAACAGAGGATATGATCGATCACTAGGAATTATTGGAGATACTATCAAAGGAAGAGCAGCTCTCAAATCAAGAGACAGGGAGGTTATTCTTGAATGGTTGCAAACCAACGGTTATTGCTGAACTCAATCAAGCTATTGATTTTCACTTTTATCTGATAGCTTCTCGAGCATTGCCTCTATTTTCTTAGAAATCGAAAGAAAGAAACATATCTAGTATAAAATTACATTCGTTCGTTATCCAAAGTTGATGGATTCCCCTTACTATTCTCCATGTCTGCTTGGCCAGTGATTGTGAGCCGCATAAAATGTTTATATATGTTCTTACATCACCTCCCTTCCATATGAACACAGAATGAACGGGTTGTAAAAAATATACCTGGCTAGATTTGTGTGTGAAGTGCTCTTTGTTCAATATTTCTTCGATATTCGAAGTTTTTCGGTTCTTCGTTATACTTGAGAATTATATTCATTAATCGTACTCATTCATCATCATTATATTTGTTGCTGACGTTCCAGGTCTCCAGCAATAATGACTAGTGGATCGATCGATAGGTAGGATGTGCCACTT